CTACCTCCGCTAGCGGACTACCCTCGCTACCTCCGCTACCCTCGCTACCCTAGCTACCCTCGCTACCCTCGCTACCTCCGCTACCCTCGCTACCGTCGCTACCCTAGCTACCCTCGCTACCTCCGCTACCCTCGCTACCTCCGCTACCCCCGCTACCCTCGCTACTACCTTCACTACCTACAATGCTATACTCTTCACTACTATATAACTGCTTGATTATCTTCCCTTAAGATTATTGCTTGTAAATGATTACAAATAGAACAAGTTAATACGCAAATTTCTATATTGTATACGAACATAGAATTTATTTGTCCAGTATATAATTAATATTTAACTATCCCTTTGACCAATCACAAAAGACCTTGTTGGAGCTGCTACATGACCCCTTTACTTCGTGTGATTGAAAGGGCATTTATGTTCACAAAATACCAGCTTATTTTACGTTATATTAACGACTGGTTAGTTTTGTAAATTATAAGTCAATGGACAGGGAAAACGATTCTGTGGTAAAGAGAGAAATACGTGCAGTTTATATTGACTTTATATTGTGATGTTATTTGTTGCAGTGAAAGACGGCCGGAAATTTCGCTACATCGCTGTACTGGAAATTCGACCATGGATAAAGAGACAACGCTTGAATAAAAGAACTGCCTGTCTTATTAATGGTAAGTTTTTAAAGGGTTTTCACTTTTCGGTAATATTTTTTCATAGTTTAAATGTACAGTCCGTTTGTAAACTATAAAGTCTTTGTTAATTACATTTCGCCAATTTCGGTATTTGAAATATTGAACTTTATTCGACAACTATTTATAATATTTTCTGTGTTGGTGCAATGTACTCAGGTGAATAAGATGCTTGTGATGTTACTCTGAGTGTATATCCACACCGGGCAAGCTTGAAAAATATGCCTGACCACCAAAGGTCGTAGGTTCGATTCCCACCGTGGTCAGGCATATTTTTCAAGCTTGCCCGGTGTGGATATACACTCAGAGTAACATCACAAGCAAACTATTTATAAGTCTTTATATTTTCATGCTTCTCAGGTATAATAAATGATCAAGATCCAACAATCGGGCTTTGCAAGAACATAAAATTAATAAAAACCCAATTAAAGTGTTTATATCACGGCAACTACCGACAACAAGCAAATGTAGTTATTTGTAAAAATGCATGGCTGTTATGAGGAAACCCAAAATATATAAATGAATTGATGTAAATAATTTATAGCTAGTTTCTGTTCGTACTGTAGTACTAAATTGAAATTCTAATAAACATCTTAGACACATTATATACACACTTTATAGGACTTTTTGTTTCGTCCAACTTAATAATACAGTCATAAATAGATCACAGACATGGTCATAGACTGGAAGTAAACAATTTTCAACTATTTGAATAACTCGGTAACAATACAAGTAACTATAAGAATGCAGTGAAAGTATGTACAGTATTTGCTTGTTGTCATATATATATATATATATATATATATATATATATATATATATATATATATATATATATATATATATATATATATATATATATATATATATATATATATATATATATATATATATATATATATATATATATATATATAAAAATACAAATTGGTTTTCTCCTTCTGCCGTATAGTGCTCTACACCAAAGTGGAGCTAAGTTAAAATTAAAAATTAAAGATTAAAACCTAAGAATGTTCATTAAAAATTGAAAAGCACTACAGTTCTGTTTCGAGAGGCCCTTTCTAGATCCTCTCTCTTCAGGTGCAGATCCTCTCTCTTCAGATCCTCTCTCTTCAGATCCTCTCTCTTCAGGTGCATATATATATATGTATATACACAGATATAGGGTTGACACTTTATGGGGGCAGGGGTATAAACCTTATCTGACACTGAGATAGGGGTGAACACCTTGTGTTACACGTAGGGGTATAAACCTTATCTTACACTGATATAGGGGTGAATGCCTTATGTTACATATAGGGGCAGGGATATAAACCTTATCTTACACAGATATGGGTAAATGCCTTATGTTACATATAGGGGAAGGGATATAAACCTTATCTTACACAGATATAGGGGTGAATGCCTTATGTTACATATAGGGGCAGGGATATAAACCTTATCTTACACAGATATGGGTGAATGCCTTATGTTACATATAGGGGAAGGGGTATAAACCTTATCTTACACTGATATAGGGGTGAACACCTTATGTTACACATAGGGGCAGGGGGGAAATCTTGTCTTACACTTATATAGGGGTGGACACCTTATGTTACACATAGGGGTAGGGGTATAAAACTTATCTTACACTGATATAGAGGTGAACACCTTATGTTACATATAGGGGAAAGGGTGTAAACCTTATCTTACACAGATATAGGGGCGAACACCTTATGTTACACATAGCAGGGGTATAAACCTTATCTTACACTGATATAGGGGTGAATGCCTTATGTTACACATAGGAGCAGGGGTATCAACCTTATCTTACACTGATATAGGGGTGAATGCCTTATGTTATTTATACAGGCAGGGGTATAAACCTTATCTTACACAGATATAGGGGTTAACACTTTATGTTACACATAGGGGCAGCCCTCAGGGTATAAACCTTGTCTTACACTGATACAGGGGTATGTTATTTATACAGGCAGGGGTATAAACCATATCTTCCACAGATATAGGGGTTAAAACTTTGGGTTAACTAATGACTATTTTCCACAAATGATTTGAAAACGTAAATTACCATCAGTGACCCCCTTTGGCACTGCACCCCCTTCCCCCCCCCCCATCCCTATATTTTCCAAGTCAGTTTCCAAAAATAGAGAAATATACTCAAATTGTTGTGGATAGCAAAAAAATCTTCTTCCATCAAATTTTAATTAATTAATAGGGTATTTTCAGGGATTTTTTAGGACTGCCCAAAAAACTTGATCTTGAATGGACCTTTAACCTTATAACTAAAATTTTGATTTAGACAAAAATTTCATCACAGCTTGAAAGAGCATCACAAAATTAGTAATATTCCAAAGTTTCGTTGCGAAATGTTGTAAAATGCAGATAATTATAGCCCTGCGAAGTTTGCAATTTTCAGTCATTTTAGATTACAAATGGGAAGTTGATACCCAAATCGGGTGTTTTTTATGTTTTTGTCTGGACTTGTCTAGATCAAAATTTTAGTTATAAGGTTAAAGGTCCATTGAGTTTTGAAACTCAATCTTCTCGCCAAAAATGTCATTGCAGTATGAAGTTGTTTGAGTTAAATTTGTGACGTGCGTAAATTAGTTTTTGAAACTTGGAAATTTAATTTGGAAACCTGATAATTAAGAAGAAAAACTATGCATTTACAGTATTTGGCATCTTTTTATTAACTAGTTTATAGTGTCCCTTAGTGCTAAACTCAATTGTTTCTTGTCTGTGGGTCAAACTCAAAACCATTTCTCATCAGTGATTGTTTTTATCAGAGGAACAGTTTTCAACAATTTTCAGAAGATTGGAGTGGGTTGGGGCATGCCAGAATATTAGAGAATTTAAGTTCGACTTCCAATACCAATGTTTTCACTTCCGTTCTCATTTTGGTACCGGGAATTTTACAGTGTGTCTACTGTAAGTGGGGCCACTTAGAGAACACTAACCAATCGCATTGCAGAACAAAAAGCAAAATTTAATCAAACTAAAGCTCGTCCAATCAAAAGAAAGATTCAGGAAGCCATTAACTGCAGTGTGTTATTTTCCGCTGGCTGAGGCACGAAAGAAGCGGAAAATGTTTTCTCACACACTGCAGGGGGCCTGATGAAATCAGGGTGTTACAGGGTGGTGCAGGTTATATGAGCATATTTTTGTTGTTGCTCACCGTAGCTTGACAGTATCCCACCCACCCAGCCCTTTTATGTTTATTAGTACAGAACGGCGTTGGATTGTATCATTGTATATATATGTACTTGTTAGGATAATTATTAAGCGAGCAATTGTAATGTATGGTAGTTTAAATTAATAAATGTCAAGCTTGCGGCTGACGCTGCAGCAGCTCCCAGCGGTGTGTGAGAAGTTTACTTTTACAAATCTATTTTTACCGTTTGACATTTGTTTACTTGTTCAAATTGTTTTTGGCCTACTGCTGATTGGCTAATGTGCCGCTTGTTGATTTTTTCAATTTGTGTTGTGCAATGTGATTGGTTAGTGTTCTCTAAGTGGCCCCACTTACTGTAGACGCACTGTAAAGCGTTAAGTTTATCACCACATTACTTAATGTCGTGATAAAATAGAACACATTAATCATCACCGAAAATGTGCCAGGCCTTAAAATATCTTTTACAGGGCCGTCTGACAAAATGTCCGGTGACGTTGAGTTTGGGTCGGACATATGTCCGATAACCTTCAGTTCAGTTTTGGCTCGGAAATAAGTCTGAATGACACAAATGAATAAACGGTAAATGTTGTAAAGATACTAAATAATTTGTTTCTTTCATACTTATTTCCAAGCCAAAATTAACTTGCGTGTTAAAAAAAGACTTCGACAACTTAAGTCCGTTTTCCACTTCACCATTTCGCTCGCCGTCCCGCGCTCGACTCCGTTAAAACAACATTTCCAGTTCACCTTTTATACAATAGTACTCTGATTTTCCATTTAACATACAAGCCTCTAGTCCTGGGCTAGGGTACATTTTGATTTACGTCTGACAAAGCTACAGTTCGGTCGGACACCAATTCACTCGGGTCGGACTAACAATAAACCTCAGTTTCATTTTGGTCGGACAGAATGTCCGGTGGTTTCCTCTCTGCGTCGGACAATTTCACAAATGGGTCGGACAATGTCCGTGACCGACCGATATTTTAAGGCCTGTGTGCGGTATACTAAATGGCAGCTGAGCTAAAACATGACTCGGGCGATGCTAATAAACAAATAGTTTACATGTTTATTGTAAAAATTATGAAATATCCAATTTATATGAGTTTATCTTACAATTCCCCCGACTTCCAATACAAGGCCGACTTCGGTAGTGCTGACTTCCAATACACTTGCCCTCATGCTTCTTGCAAGCAGAGAGCATGCATGTGACATGTTGTTTAATAGTATCGGTATTGGTATCGGAAGTCGAACTTAAACTCTCTATTTTACTCCATCGACCACCAGACAATTTTACTTGTCAAGAGGAGAGTGCTGCCCCTTAATGGGTTAATTAAATTAATTAGACAATATCTGCCAATGCACACTGTTGATGGATTAAGGGGGTCTTCCACCCTAAAAACATTTTTTTCAATTTAAAGGTTTTATCGTATTTGAGTCAAATATGATGGAATATCCTCAGCTGACGCAGGATCAGTAACTTTTACATTCGTCGTTGCCATAGTAACTAAGATAGGCCTTGCTATAGGGTAAAATATAGGGTTTGCTCCAAAAATGATGTGAGCCAAACTAATTTACCGAGGATTTTAGAAACAGCTTTAATGGACACTTAATACATCGATCTATGTCATGAACCTAAAAAAAATACAAGTAATACAATAAGGCCTTCATATTTTACTTTTTTAAAATTATATGAAGAAAGGAACAATATAATTGAAAATGGAACAATAGACTAAACCAATCGCATATCTTTATCGCTCCGGGTAAAATCGTGGTTTTACCCTACGAAGGTGTAGAATTTGCTGGATTTCTCTGGTTTACGGTACATTTTCGTTCTTAAAATTACACGGATTTTATAAAAAACGCTATAAAGACTACATTTTTACGTTTTTGTAAAACATAACGAATATTGGAAAATTTGGGTGGAAGACCACCTTAATGTCCAAGACTCTTCTCTTGATGAGTAAATTCATTGGCCATTAGTTAGAATACAAAAATAAAGTTGGGAGTACTGCAGCTTAATCCATTGAGCCACAATGTGCCCCACTTATTTATTTACTTGTCTCATCAGTGGTGTAACTTCACTTTTTTGCCCTCGGTGCAAGTTGGACATGAAATTAGGTGCCCTGAATAAAATTTACTTGCCGTCAGACAATGGCGATACACTGGGGTACCTAGGTACGGGGTATAAGTTAAGGGAACAACATTTTGGTCTGTTCTCCCACTGCTCTTAAAGGCTATGTTATACTGCCTCAGATCTACCTTTGGCTCTCAAAAAATAAAATTTCAATCAATAAGTACATGCACTATAAAAAAATTATCCAACAATGAAAACATAAACTTAAAGATGCTGAGCTTTTGGTGGCAAGGCAACTTGCCCAAACGGGCAAGCAAGATAAAGCGTTTACTTGCCGGTCATGATATTAACCCCAGGCAAGCGTTAAGTTACACCTCTGCTAATGCCAGATGATTTTACTTGTCAATGGGGGAGCTCTGCAACTTAATGGGCTAACCACAAAATCTGACAATATCCCTAGTTAACCCATTGACTGAGCCACAATGCGCCCCAGTATGCCCTACTTATTTTTTTACTTGTCTAATGCCAGACGATTTTACTTGCCAGTGTGGAAGCTCTGTAGCTTAACCCATTGAGTCGCATTGCACCCAGATGCACCCTACTTTAGTATTTTACTCTGTCTAACGCCAGACGATTTTACTCGTCAAGGGGAGAGCACTGGCGCCTTAATGGGTTAACTGGCCTATCTGCCCATGTGTCTAGTTAATGAGTTAATCAATTAATCTTATTCATCTTAGACAACAGCAATTGAACTATGTGACAGGAACTGTTACCAATGTCTACAAGCCATTATCGACTCAATCTTTGGACAACCAAAAACATTTCTCCAACATGTTGTTATTCTTGGACGTGTTAGTTCATTTGGATTTGCAGATGAAGTCCTTAAAAGGTCAGTTTAATTAGTTTGTATCATATTTACTAATGACTATTATACTGTACAAATGATATGAAAATTTTCCTCCAATGATCCCCCTTTGGCACTGTGCCCCCCTCCCCCTGCCTCTATGTTTTCCAAGTCAGCTTCCAAAAATAAAGAAATATACTCAAATTGTTGTAGGTGGCCAAAAAATGTCTTAAATCAAATTAGGGTTTCTTCAGGGATTTTTAAGGCTGCCCCAAAAACTCAATCTTGAATTGAGTTTTGAAATTTGATCTTCTGACCAAAAGTTTCATTGTAGTAAAAATGAAGTTGTTTGAGTTTAATACATTTGTGACATGTGGAGATTAGTTTTCACTTTTCAGTTTGAAACCCGACAATTTCTTAAAAATTTCCTGTGTCCCTTCACATTTTACAAAAAATTTAAAGCATGTTTTTATCAGTCGAAAGTAATTGTTTTGATGAGAGATGTGTTTCTTGACACTTTTGAACAAGGTTCGTACAACACTTGAAAGTCCTTGAATGTCCTGGAATTTGTAAAGAAGTACTTGAATGTCCTTGAATTCTTCTTGGTTTAGTTTATGGATACTTTCTGAAATTGTTTGACATTCAAGACGGACATTTTGTTGAACTGATTTTGCATGTTCATATCTCACCTCATTAAAAAGTTACGTTTTGAACAATTCAACATCAGATTTTGCTGATTTTTAACGCCTTCTTCTTCAGTATTTAGTTCTTGAATTTGCTCATACATGGCCTTGAATGTCCTTGAAAAGTCCTTGAATTTGACAATTCCTGACATGTACGAACCCTGTTTCAAGAAGTTTGAAATAGTTTGGGGCACTTTTTGAATTTTTGAGAAAATTTTCTGTGAATTTTACCAACGCAGCATATAAATTATAAATGCTGAATAATAATTGTGTATGCAAATAAGGCAATTTGAATCCTATTGGCGTACAAAATTGTTATTCAGAATTTACAATTTCTATGCTGCATCCAATCTATTGACCAATCAGGGGATGCTTTTGTAAATACCCATGTACCCAAATATTCAGAAGTCTTTATTTTTATGCTAAAACAGAAACATTCCAGTGAATAAATTAATAAAATTATATTCAAATTTAGGGTGTGTTGCAGCTGTATATTTTGCCGCTGCCTTGTGTGGTCCTCGCCTGTTTGTGAAAAAAAGTACTTTGAAGATCAAGATACAACGCTTAAATAGAGTAAAGCACCAAATGCCGAAGTTAAAGACAGGATTAAGGTATGTTTTATCAATTTGATGTGAAATGTTGATACATTTCGTGAGTTAAAGTGGTTGAAACTGCTTGTCGAATTTGACAATTGCAAGTCGCTTTGTGTTCAACATTTTGTGGTGGTTTATATAGATACTGAATTCAGTGGTGTAAGAGAGGAACCCTTAGGCATATTTGGTGTGGGGGGCCTGTCAACCGTTGAACTATTGTTTGACTGAGATGTTATATTTAGCTATATTTCCCTCTCTATAACAATCACAGCTACGACACAACTAAGGAGCCAATTATCTGGAGCACTTTCAACCCAGAGGTTGAACTCAGTGCTGTTAACAGGTTTGAATTTTTTGTGATTACATGGATGATTTCGACGCCAGGTTTGAAATGCTATATGTCCCTGGCATTGATTCCCGGTAGAGACCTCTACCAGCAAAGAGGGTTGAATTTCAACCCCGGGGTTGATAATAATGTAATGTAATTGTGTGTTTGATTTTTTTGAAGTTTTGTATTACACACAGGGATGAAATTTCAACCCAGTCAACAGAGCTGGGTTCAACCACGGGGTTGAAAATGCTCCATGTAATCGGCTTCTAATAAGAATAAGAATACCGTTTGTTTTATTTGAGATGGAATAACAAATTCAGTTGATTATTTAGCATTATTAATTTTGCATTTTCCCATCAATTCTTAACCTGCATTTTTACATCTTCTCATTTTCTGGGCGACGGGTCATGGCTGTGTGTGGGGGGGGGGGGGCTTAACTGTCGGCCCCTAATTTGAATTAACCCTGCCTAATACCTCAACGTTTCGTGAAGTTTAGTTCAAATTAGCAGAGATGAGTGCATAAAGTATTTAGGATATTTTGAAGCTAAATTTGTTTTTAAATTTGTCATTTTAGTGAATACAAGAAATGTTGAATAGTCTGCTGCAAGGAGACATCGGACATTGTAATGAATGGATGATAATGTGAGTCGCTGGCACACCTACAGCCCCTACTGCGATAGGCAGTCAAGTATTTTTAACCTGCACATTTTTGTTTTTATTTCCCCTATTTTATTTTATGTTCATAAATATCATGACTTTTAATGTTGGAAGGAGTTGAGAGTCCCCACTCAACTGCATGCCTTCTGAATAATAATTATAGACTCCATTTTACATGCTACCATTTTACCTGTGAGAATTTTTTGAAAATTTTGAGATTTGAAAGCTATTGCTTTCAACTATATAGAGCCCAACTATATGTCATTGGCTCTGGGAATAAATGGGTGTACTGTTTGTGTTGAATGGTTTGAAGTGTTGCAGGTATCTTGTGATCTCTAATAAAGTTGTGATATTATTTCAGTGCTGTTTCTATAGAGGCCCAGCTCGCTTTTGCTATATGCCTTAGCCTAAATAATTTCAGTTCTATTTCAATTAAAATATTTTAAGTACTTTCCAATAAGGCCTAGCTCCCTATGGCTATATGCCATAGCCTAAATAATTTCAGTTATATTTCAATTAAAACATTTTAAGTACTTTCCATAAAGGACAGCTCGCTATGGCTATATGCCTTAGCCTAAATAATTTCGGTTATATTTCAATTAAAACATTCTAAGTACTTTCCATAAAGGACAGCTTGCTATGGCTATATGCCTTAGCCTAAATAATTGCAGTTATATTTCAATTAAAACATTTTAAGTACTGTTTCCATAAAGGACAGCTTGCTATTGGCTATATGCCTTGGCCTGAAAAATTTCAATATTAAATTTAGCATTTAACTATATTGCTTAAGCTTTTGAAATAGACATCGCAGTTTATTGATATTCAAATTTATTAAGATTTACTGCCTATGTGACATGTTTTAGTTATGATGAAAGGCAAGTATAAATTGCCATTGGAGTAAAAGTGTATTTATGTTTTATAAAACTGTGCAGTAGTTTTACACAACTATATACAGTGTTACTAAACTGCATGCTAAAAGTTTCTGTTGACTGTTACTCTGTTAGAATGGTGGCTTGTAATTTGGGGTATCTGGCTAGGATTTGACATTTAAATATTTACAAGTGCATTAGGTCTCTTAGGTTTAGTTTAAGACCAACATGAGCGAGTGAGATAAACTCGACTAGCTTATGTAGGTTAAGGCATCAAGCGTGAATTCCGTGGAATGCGTGCGTGCACTAGACCCCTCAGGATCGGATCCCAAACCTTTTTTCAATACCAAATGTGAAATTACCCCACCTTACCACATCGTCGAAGAATTATGGTGGATATCTTGGGCAAATGTGCAATACTATGAGGGATATCTTGGGCAAATGTGCATTTTCTGGGTGGATATCTTGGGCAAATGTGCAATACTATCAGGGATATCTTGGGCAAATGTCAATATGATGAGGGATATCTTCGCAAATATCTTGGGTAAATTTATCTTAAATTGCTAAAGAACAATGTTGTAAGGTTAGTAGATATTTATATTAGCGATAGAATGGGGGTTCCTTGCGCATAGGAACGAACGAAGTAAAGTGTAACAATCTAACAATATAGACTTTGATGGCTTGAACCATGGATAATAAAATAAATGGATAGGAAACTAGCTGACGTGACCTAATGTTTTCAATGGGCTGATGGCGTGGTTGCATATTGAAACCTAGGGCCTGTTCATATGATCCCGCTTACCGGGACGTCTCGCTTACCGAGACGAATATTTCCGTGCGTTCATATGGAGTATTTCGTCCCGCTTGCCGAGATGAAATTACATTGTAGTTCTATAATTAGCGTATGCAAAACTTCCACATTTCAGTCAAGCAACACAAATACTTGGCGATTTTAGTGTTTTTCTTCGTTTATTTACAAGAAAAAGTATTGCTTCAGGTGGTTATTTAATACTTGTTTACAAAACAAACATAAAACTAAGTAAAAAGTGTTAAATTAAACCGGCAAGACTTGTTTCACTTCATCCCGGTAAGCGGGCTGGCGTGTTCATATGGAAAAATTTTCATCCCGCCTACCTATGATCTCGGCAAATTCAAACGAGATCTCGGCAAGCGGGCCAGCTCGCTTTCTCATATGAACACAATGCAAAATTTTATAGGAAAATAGATAGGCGGCGAGATCATCGGTAAGCGAGACGTCCCGGTAAGCGGGATCATATGAACAGGCCCCTAGTTGCAAACCAAATTCTCAAAAACAGGCCTTAAAATATTGGTCGGTCACGGACATTGTCCAACCCATTCGTGAAATTGTCCGACGTAGAGAGGAAACCACCGGACATTCTGTCCGACCAAAGTGAAACTGAAGTTTATTGTTTGTCCGACCCGAGCGTAATGGTGTCCGACCAAACTGTAGCTTTGTCCAGCGTAAATCAAAATGTAACCTAGCCCAGGACTAGAGGCTTGTATGTTAAATGGAAAATCAGAGTACTATTGTGTAAAAGGTGAACTGGAAATGTTGTTTTAACGTAGTCGAGCGCGGGGCGGCGACCGAAATGGTGAAGTGGAAAGTTAACGGTCTTAAGTTGTCGAAATCTTTTAATACTGCTGTTCTGGGAAGCAAGTTAATTTTGGCTTGGAAATAAATATGAAAGAAACAAGTTATTTAATATCTTTACAACATTTACCGTTTATTCATTTGTGTCATTCAGACTTATTTCCGAGTCAAAACTGAACTGAAGGTCATCGGACAATATGTCCGACCCAAATTCAACGTCACCGGACATTTTGTCAGACGGCCCTGTAAAAGATATTTTAAGGCCTGTCAAAAACGGCATGTTTACCAATAATACAGCTAAACATTTTAGTCAAAGAGCAAATGAATATAACTACGCCATTCTACGATGAAATCTCTAAGTATTCCCAGTCAATTTATTTCAAGCACTAAACAGTGAAAAATGCACGCCAATTTCGTAGCTACAAATGTAAAAAAAAATACAAAACAAAAACGAAAACCATTTACCTTGAATACTTTGTCGTGACGTAGGCATTTTTTTAAAACAGTTAGACCAGTTTATGCTTCAATATTACTCTTTTAAAGCGGAAAGTATAGTGAAACAACAAAAATGCCGAGAACTTTGCAATACGCGTGACGTCACAGATTGCAACTAGGTTGTTTTTGCTTACGTCAGCTATAGAGTCCTATCCATTTATTTTATTATCCATGTTTGAACGGAAGTTTTTAACGATGATTTTCTTTGCAAAAACTGTACGTTCGAAATTCGTCAGCTTCTGAATTTGAAAACCGATCACACGCATTACAAGCGCAGCAACACGCAACAGTTTAGATAGAGTCATGAGGCAGGATGTGTACAAGAAAAGCTTTGCCAGAGTTTTGTCTTTTGAAATACAACGACGATTGGAAATTGCTGTTTGATTCTTTGTAATATCTTGTAGCTTGTTAGTAAAAAAGAAATTTGTCACTTTCCTCATCTAAACCTTTCTTCAGAAAAACTGGCATCGTTTGTCTTGGGGTTAGGGGGTACAAATGGTACCCATAGCTTAGGGCCTGTTCATATGATCCCGCTTACCGGGACGTCTCGCTTACCGAGACAATATTTCCGTGCGTTCATATGGAGTATTTCGTCCCGCTTGCCGAGATGAAATTACATTGTAGTTCTATAATTAGCGTATCCAAAACTTCTACATTTCAGTCAAGCAACACAAATACTTAGCCATTTTAGTGTTTTTCTTCGTTTATTTACAAGAGAAAAAGTATTGCTTCAGGTGGTTATTTAATACTTGTTTACAAAACAAACATAAAACCAAGTAAAAAGTGTTAAATTAAACCGGCAAGACTTGTTTCACTTCATCCCGGTAAGCGGGCTGGCGTGTTCATATGGAAAATTTTTCATCCCGCCTACCTATGATCTCGGCAAATTCAAACGAGATCTCGGCAAGCGGGCCAGCTCGCTTTCTCATATGAACACAATGCAAAATTTTATAGGAAAATAGATAGGCGGCGAGATCATCGGTAAGCGAGACGTCCCGGTAAGCGGGATCATATGAACAGGCCCTTAGAGGGTGCAAATGGTACCCGTAAGAAGACTTGGTGGAAATCGTGTTGGTCGTTTGGATTGGCGAGAATAAGAGAATTATGGTGGCAAAGTTTTTTCAAACATTTTCTCTCCCGTAACAAGGTAAAGCATGTATATTCCTGGTAGCCGGTCTTACTTCATGAAAAAACAGTCCGCTACCAGCGACTAGGTCCCCTCTCTTATGGCGGTCATTGCGGCTCAATGTGTTCAATGGAACACAAAGGTATTCAGGCATGTAGAGGTATTCCTTTTCAGGGCGGTTGCAAGCGGATAATATGGTCCGTCACGTGCGCAAAATAGTTAGGGAGATAGACAGTTTAGAAGCGTCCAAACTGCGCAATACACACTCGCACGAAACGTAAAAATAAAATGGCTTAATAAAACTGCGAAAACAGAAAATTGACAACTTTGCCATTTTGAGCGTGTGCAATAGGACGTGCGCACGCACAAAGATGTTCTGGTTTTAACATAAATAATAAAAAGAGTGTCCGTGGTCGGGGCTGAATAGTACTGTGGAAGATTGGGTTGGAAAATTTACAATTAAGATCTGTATTTTTGGACAATTATTACTGTTTGAAAAATAGTATCCTGCTGATGTAAAATAGCATCTAAAGGGTTTGGCAACAATGATGTCCAAAGAGAATGTTAGCCCCAAAGTTTATTTCATAAAATGAGTTATCTTTATGTATACTCAATTAAAAGGCAGTTCAGTTTTAATAATAATTGATATAAATTGAAACTCATTCTGGCTCAAATTTTATTTCATAAAATATTTTTCTCAGAATACTCAATTACATGACAATAGAAAAAGAATATTTGTTAAGTCAAAAGTTTAATAATATTTATCATAATTCATATTCAAAGTGACTTTGGCTCCAATTTTATGCCCGAGTAGATTGTGTCCACAGAAACCCGAGGTATTATACTAGATGCGAAATACAACGTTTTAGAAAAGCATTAAAACTAAGTCTAAAGTCAGATAAGGTTTTCATATAGTCATAAGTCAGAGCATAATACTCGCCTTTTAAGCAAAAGCGAAAAGATTATTTTCGCCACAATTTCACGTAAACCCAAACGTGGTGACGAAATTTCCCAGCAATTATTTGTGCTGAATTTGTACTAAATCGAGAAATTTAACCAAAGTATAATTTTGCCCTCGCCTGGTTAGATAAGCAAGATTTGTGACGATATGGACACCACCCTGGGGGGGGAGGTCAATATATTAGAAGTTTGATTAGTACTAAGTTAAAGTTTTCGTCAAAAACACTACTGAAATATGGCTTTGACAGGGTTGACTTAGCCTGAAAACCCAATAATTTCTCATTCCTTCTCTGTAATATACATCTTTAGTTCACTTTTATACATCTTTACGTAAAATGCTTCATATTAGATTCATATGACAAGTTGGGTATCCTATAACATAGATACGGCAGGCCCTCTACTCTCTGGAGATAAATTGGAACAGAATGGCTGACATTGAGTATACTTTAAAGAGACTTTAATGAAATAAAATTTGGGGCTAATGGCTCAATGCATATGTCGTCTTTCGTTTAAAGGAAAAATACCACACTCTCTAAGCGTCATTGTTGCTAGTAGTTGTGTATAAGCTTTATGAAAAAAATCAACGTCTTGAGATTTTGTTTTACTTATATAACTAACATGCTTTTTGTTTTTCAACAAGTAATAATGGTCTAAGAAATGCAGATTTAAATTGCAGATGTTTGTTAGCTTCTTCACTTATTATTAGCATGACAAAATTACTGGATGCTGATTGGTTGAGATGAGTACAATTATTTCATTAATTGTACTCCACTGCAGTACAATTAATGATTTTCCCACAACAAACAAAATGGCGGAAAGGTATTTTAAACACAAGCGTGAAATGAAATTGCGCTAGAGGAACTAGATGAAAATACGAAAAGCACCAAATTTTGCTTTAACAAAAGACTAAATAAAAATACGAACAAAAGCACCACATTTTGGTTGAAAGTATGGCAGGACTGGGCGTAAATTGGTGAGAGAATATATGATGTTAACATTGAGAAGTATCCAGTTTTGTTGTCATGCCAATAATAAACAAGTAATCATGTGATGTTGCTCGTACAATTATGGATTAATAGTACTCGTGATGTTTGGAAATTTTGCCAAATTGAACTCGCCCCGGCGGCTCGTCCAATTTTTGCAAAATTTCCAAACATCACTCGTACTATTAATCCCTAATTGTACTCGCCATCGCATGATTACCTATACTAACTGCACAATTATTGCGAAATTGTGCGTTTATCACATTATTAAAATTAGGGACCGGTCATTATTTATGGCGGGGGGTGGCACCGAAGAGAAAAGGGTTGGGTAAACTAAATTTTGAGTAAGTAAAAGGTTGGGTAAATGAAAAACAAAACAACTCAAGGGTTGGGTAATAAAAAGTTATTGTCATTTCCAAAGCATGACTCACTTAAATATTGGAGACTGAAAAGCAATGTCAACAGTCATATGTCAATACAATATGTAAATCAATCAGAGTCACTATCTTGATCATTTTCCGATTGGTTGGGAGACAAATGGTGTCTCCAAAGAAAGTGCATGTACATACAACATGAAAGTTTAGTTATCAAACTTGTGTCACAGAAGTGGTAAAGGACATGTGTGACAACTGAATGGTGTTCTTTTGTAAAGGTTTTGGCCAGGGGTGGGTATTTATTTTTTAATTGATATTTGAGGTTGGGTAATCAAATTTTTTGCTTTTTAATGGTTGGGTCAGCAAAATTTTTACCAGGAAAAACATTTCTCTTCGGTGCCACCCCCCACCATAAATAATGACCGGTCCCTTAGTAAGGTCTGTGAACATTGGCACAACTGCTTGTTCTCATGCATAAATTTTTAACTAGTTTTTGGGATTGGATTTATTCAAATTTGAGGTGATTTTGAACACATATTGGTATGTTACTCATTCTATGAGTAAAATATTGTTCGTTTATACTTTGTTCTAGTTTTTTATAGCTTTTATATTGTCTTAGCAGTTGAAATATATGTGATTGTTTACGAAATATATTTAGAATTGTTTGTTAATTGTTCGTTCATTTTATACATGACGAAACCCGAAATTAATAGTTTGATGGTCACAAAAAATTTGAGCATAAAAATGTTGAAATTGTGCACCAAAACACTAGCTATTATAATTGAAATCACTGGAACACAACTAGTTTTAAATACGTTTGAATTTAATTTCATAACATGCAGTATTTCAAACGTTTTGAAACAGATAATCGATCAGAACGTTTGGGATGCAAGCATGTATGAAATTCAATTCAAAACTAGTTGTGTTCCAGTGATTTCAAATATAATATCTAGTGTTTTGGTGTGTACAACTTTAACATTTTTATGCTCAAATTTTTTGTGACCATCAAACTATCAATTTCGGGTTTCGTCATGTATAAAATGAACGAACAATTACAGTGAAAATACAAAAAGTGTCCCACTTCCGCTTCTGTAGTTTGTTGTGATTTACTGTAATTTGTTCTGTTTTTCTGTAGCGATTACCGATTTATCGGCAAATACTGCGATAAAATTTAAATTCCGTTCCTTTTGTGCAATGAAACTAACGAAAAATGTATTATTTCCCTTTGCTACAAATTATCATATTTAAAAATAGAAAAAAACTAAGTTTTATCGCGGTATTTGTCGATAAATCGGTAATCGCTACAGAAAAACAGAACAAATTACAGTAAATCACAACAAACTACAGAAGCGGAAGTGGGACACTTTTTGTATTTTCACTGTAACAAATAATTCAATATATTTCGTAAACAATCACATATATTTCAACTGCTAAGACAATATAAATAAAAGCTATAAAAAACTAGAACAAAGTATATAAACGAACAATATTTTACTCATAGAATGAGTAACATACCAATATGTGTTCAAAATCACCTCAAATTTGAATAAATCCAATCCCAGAAACTAGTTACAAATTTATGCATGAGAACAAGCAGTTGTGCCAATGTTCACAGACAATTCACAGTACTATTTGGTTTGTGGGTTCAAATCCCCAAACGCTTAATTTTTATTTATAAAAAAGGATCCAATGGATGTGATGGATTCAATGGATCCGATGGATAAATAGATCCTTTTTTCAAAAGGATCCAATGGATGCGATGGATCCAAAGGATCCGATGGATAAATAGATCCTTTTTTTTAAAAGGATCCAATGGATGCGATGGATCCAAAGGATCCGATGGATAAATAGATTCTTTTTTTAAAAGGATCCAATGGATGCGATGGATTCAATGGATGCGATGGATCCAAAGGATCCGATGGATAAATAGATCCTTTTTTTTAAAAGGATCCAATGGATGCGATGGATCCAAAGGATCCGATGGATAAATAGATTCTTTTTTTAAAAGGATCCAATGGATGCGATGGATTCAATGGATGCGATGGATCCAAAGGATCCGATGGATAAATAGATCCTTTTTTTTAAAAGGATCCAATGGATGCGATGGATCCAAAGGATCCGATGGATAAATAGATTCTTTTTTTAAAAGGATCCAATGGATGCGATGGATTCAATGGATGCGATGGATCCAAAGGATCCGATGGATAAATAGATCCTTTTTTTTAAAAGGATCCAATGGATGCGATGGATCCAAAGGATCCGATGGATAAATAGATTCTTTTTTTAAAAGGATCCAATGGATGCGATGGATTCAATGGATGCGATGGATCCAAAGGATCCGATGGATAAATAGATCCTTTTTTTTAAAAGGATCCAATGGATGCGATGGATCCAAAGGATCCGATGGATAAATAGATTCTTTTTTTAAAAGGATCCAATGGATGCGATGGATTCAATGGATGCGATGGATCCAAAGGATCCGATGGATAAATAGATCCTTTTTTTTAAAAGGATCCAATGGATGCGATGGATCCAAAGGATCCGATGGATAAATAGATTCTTTTTTTAAAAGGATCCAATGGATGCGATGGATTCAATGGATGCGATGGATCCAAAGGATCCGATGGATAAATAGATCCTTTTTTTTAAAAGGATCCAATGGATGCGATGGATCCAAAGGATCCGATGGATAAATAGATCCTTTTTTAAAAGGATCCAATGGATCTGATGGATAAATAGATCCTTTTTTTAAAGGATCCAATGGATGCGATGGATCCAAAGGATCCGATAGATAAATAGATCCTTTTTTTAAAAGGATCCAATGGATGCGATGGATTCAATGGATCCGATGGATCCGATGGATAAATAGATCCTTTTTTTAAAAGATCCAATGGATGCGATGGATCCAAAGGATCCGATGGATAAATAGATCCTTTTTTTAAAGGATCCAATGGATGCGATGGATCCAATGGATGCGATGGATCCAAAGGATCCGATGGATAAATAGATCCTTTTTTTAAAAGGATCCAATGGATGCGATGGATCCAAAGGATCCGATGGATAAATAGATCCTTTTTTTAAAAGGATCCAATGGATGCGATGGATCCGATGGATCCAATGGATCCGATGGATATCTATTTATCCATCAGATCCTTTGGATCCATCCGATCCATTGGATCCATCGGATCCTTTTTTTTTATAAATAAAAATTAAGTGTTTTGGGATTTGAACCCACAAACCAAATAGTACTGTGAATTGTCTGTGAACATTGGCACAACTGCTTGTTCCATGCATAAATTTTTAACTAATTTTTGGGATTGGATTTATTCAAATTTGAGATGATTTTGAACACATATTGGTACCAATGTTACTCATTCTATGAGTGAAATATTGTTCGTTTATACATTAATGGTTCTAGTTTTTATAGCTTTTATTGTTTTAACAGTCGAAATATATGTTGATTTTGTTGAATTATTTGTTAATTATTCGTTCATTTTATGCATGATGAAACCCGAAATTTATAGTTTAATGGTCACAACAAATTTGAGCATATAAAAAAGTTAAAATTGTATACCAAAACACTAGCTGTAATATTTGAACTCGCTAGAACACAACTAGTTTTAAATACGTTTGAATTGAATTTCATACATGCAGTATTTCAAATGTTGTGATTGATTATCTGTTTCAAAACTTTTGAAATCATGCATACAGCTATTTCAATATTAAGGTTGTCCACGAGCAAAGCGGAAAAGTCGAATACGAGCGCGCAAGGCTGCTGCGCGGGAATCGCTAACAACTGAGTCGTCAGTCGGGAACCTTGTCAGCCTTTCGCGCTCGTATTCGACTTTTCCGCTTTGCTCGTGGACAACCTTAATATTGAAATAGCTGTATGCATGATTTCAAAAGTTTTGAAACAGATAATTAATCACAACATTTGAAATATTGCATGTATGAAATTCAATTCAAACGTATTTAAAACTAGTTGTGTTCTAGTGAGTTCAAATATTACAGCTAGTGTTTTGGTGTACAATTTTAACTTTTTTATATGCTCAAATTTGTTGTGACCATCAAACTATAAATTTCGGGTTTCATCATGCATAAAATGAACGAATAATTAACAAATAATTCAACAAAATCAACATATATTTCGACTGTTAAAACAATAAAAGCTGTAAAAACTAGAACAATGTATAAACGAACAATATTTTACTCATACAATGAGTAACATTGGTACCAATATGTGTTCAAAATCATCTCAAATTTGAATAAATCCAATCCCAAAAATTAGTTAAAAATTTATGCATGGGAACAAGCAGTTGTGCCAATGTTCACAGACCTTACTAATTTTAATAGTGTGATAATCGCACAATTTTGCAATAATTGTGCAGTTACAGAAGAAACTTACTAACATGTGCAATATAAATCTGTATTTCTAGACCATTATTAACTTTGTTGAAAACCAAAAAAACATGTTAGTTATATAAGTAAAACAAAACCTCAAGACTTTTCTTTGATTTTTTCATGAAAGTTACACAACTGCTGGCAACAAAGACGTTAAGAGAGTTTGGTATTTTTCCTTTAAATGAAAGACAAAGAACGACATATGCATTAAGCCTAATATTAGCCCCAAATTTTCTTGAGTGGAAATGGCCTTATCAATTCAATTATTATTAAACTTTTACTCGAAATTTTTTTATACTGTCTTGTAATTCAGTATTTTCAAATATAAATCATTTTATGAAATAAACTTTGGGGCTAACATCCTCTTTGGACATCATTGTTGCCAAACCCTTTAGATGTTATTTTACATCAGCAGGATACTATTTTTCAAAGAGTAATAATTGTCCAAAAATACAGATCTTAATTGTAAATTTTCCAACCCAATCTTCCACAGTACTATTCAGCCCCGACCACGGACACCTCTTTTTATTATTATAAGTAATAGCATGGCTTGAGGGAGATTAGTGATTAAATGGCCCCGTAACCCGAGGCAGGTTTGCGGAATTCCCGAGGGCGAAGCCCGAGGGAATTCCGCAAACCTGCCGAGGGTAAGGGGTCATTTAATCACTAATCTCCCGAAAAGCCATGCTATTAGTTTGTAATAGCATAGTTTCGCTCCCATTAAAAAATGGACAAACATGCCCTACTTGGAATCAGCGTATTTAAGCTAAAACATTTGCTTCATTGCTTGTGGGATGTAAAAGCTTGTTGCACATGCGCACTTTTTACGCTTTAATCGGTTACGCATGCGCAATCTATCATTTAACGTACCACAACAAACACGCTAAATATATTAGTATAAATTTGGAGACTGCACGTGCGTAATTTAAATGATGCGGCACTCAGGGATCGGATGATAGACTATTGACGGCTCTGAGCTAACTGTTGCTGTTCCTTGCACGATTATGTGCGTGAGGCACTTGCCTAATGCGTAGTCGTCAGGGAGACAAAGGTGTGACCTTTGGTAACGGGCGATTAGTTCTAATCGCCCGCTCTAGCGGGCGATTAGAACTAATCGCCCGCTACAGCGGGCGATACGTGATTAAACGTCCCTGTTGAAACAAAAGAAACCCGGGCAACTATGCTATTATTTATGTTAAAACCAGGACATCCTGTGAGAAAACTTTGTGCATGCGCACGCCCTATTGCGCACGTTCAAAATGGCAAAATTGTCATTTTTTGTTTTTTTCGCAATTTTGTTAAGCCATTTTATTTTTACGTTTCGTGCGAGTGTTCATTGCGCTTCAAAACTGCTTCCTAACTATTTTGCGCACGCGACGGACCATCTTATCCGCATGCAACCGCCCTGAAGAGGAATACCTCTACATGCATGAATACCTTTGTGTTCCATTGAACACATTGACCCGCAATGACCGCCATAAGAGAGGGGACCTTAGTCACTGGTAGCGGACTGTTTTTTCATGAAGTAAGACCGGCTACCAGGAAAATACATGCTTTACCTTGCTACGGGAGAGAAAATGTTTGAAAAAACTTTGCCACCATAATTCTCTGATTCTCGCCGATCCAAACGACCAACATGATTCCACCAAGTCTTCTTACGGGTACCATTTGCACCCTCTAAGCTATGGGTACCATTTGTACCCCCTAACCCCAAGAAAAACGATGCCAGTTTTTTTTTGAAAAAAGGTTTAGAGATGAGGAAAGTGACAAATTTCTTTTTTACTATCAAGCGATAAGATATATTACAAATAGTCTAGGACCTGTATATGAGTTTGTATGCATTTCATTTAGGACAGATAATCTCAACTGTTTTAGGGTAAGTTGACAACATGGTAACGCTGCCCGAACCCCAATCCGGGGCGAAACGTCCGAAACTGACCACACCCAAAAACGACGCTTTCGCCATACTGCTATCTACCAAACCATAAAAGCTTTGGCTATTCTGAGGTGCTTATATGGTTCAGAGATGGTACTTTTGGGGGTGATCATTGGTAAATGTGAAATGCCTAGCACTAATATTTCACAAGAAAATGGCCATGCAATAATCGTAGTTAAACGTCAATTTGTGGCTTGCAAATTCAGATAAACAGCAGTGGACTTACATTACCTTTTTTCCCTAAATCTTTTTGATAGAAACATAAATGGTACTTATTTAAATATATTATCACTGGTTTGGTGTAAAATAGTTAATATTTTCTGACCGAAATAATAATTCGAAATGTGCCTACCTCCTGCAAATGGACGTATTTGGCCAAGTTCTCCACTTTACTCTGCTGTTTATCGGCGATCTCGTCGACATCCTACAAAAAATGTAAATTATCTCAGACATAATGGTATCAAGAACATTTTAAAGGAGTTTCAACTTGGTTTCAAGTAGATCATACCTGTTTAACCATCGACAAGGTAAATCCACAACTTTGTCCAAATTCGGCGCCATTTTGTCATCCCATGTCGCTTGTTAACAATTCAGCCTTGTTACTCTTCCATCCAAGCCATTTCCATTCCACTAATAATATAATAAATTTAACCCTTTATAACAGGAGGAAACTAAAAAATCTAAACAAAATACAAGAAATACGCCATTTTATCACCCTGTAAAATGTTGTTTACGAGCCTTCAAAACATTCCGTACAAATCTCGCGTGGTTTAGCAACAGGGACGTGACAGGGGGGGGGGAGGAGAGACTTGAAAAATGAAAGGAAAGCCCACACAGTATGGTAAAACCAACAATCAACATTTAATTTGTATCACTTTTTCATATTAATAAATAATAATATGTATATATTTGTCGCTACAAGAAATAAAACAAACATTTGTATGATTGTATTTAGCTTTTAGTCTATTTCACGCAGCCTTCTTCTATCTTCGTGAAATAATTCACCCCCTCCTGTCACGTCCCTGTTACTTTGTCACGCGATATTTGTCCGGAATGTTTTGAAAGACTCGTGAGCAAAATTTTACATGGTGATAAAATGGCGTATTTCTTATATTTTGTTTAGATTTTTAGTTTCCTCCTGTTTTAATATAAAGGGTTAAATTTATTATTAGTGGAATGGAAATGGCTTGGATGGAAGAGTAATAAGGCTGAATTGTTAACAAGCGACATGGGATGACAAAATGGCGCCGAATTTGGACAAAGTTGTGGATTTACCTTGTCGATGGTTAAACAGGTATGATCTACTTGAAACCAAGTTGAAACTTGTTTAAAATGTTCTTGATACCATTATGTCTGAGATGATTTACATTTTTTGTAGGATGTCGACGAGATCGCCGATAAACAGCGGAGTAAAGTGGAGAACTTGGCCAAATACGTCCATTTGCAGGAGGTAGGCACATTTCAAATTATTATTTTGGTCAGAAAATATTAACTATTTTACACCAAATCAGTGATAATATATTTAAATAAGTACCAATTATGTTTCTATCAAAAAGATTTAGGGAAAAAGGTAATGTAAGTCCACTGCTGTTTATCTGAATTTGCAAGCCACAAATTGACGTTTAACTATGATTATTGCATGGCCATTTTCTTGTGAAATATTAGTGCTAGGC